GATCACCGTAGGTTAATTAATATTGAACGAGTGCAATTTGTATTGTGAAATACTCCTTTCTGTCCGAGGTCAGTATGATAAAATGACGCCTCATACTACTGTTTCACCTCAGATGTGATGTATAAATTACGGTGGTCCGTAAGTGCCATTCTAAGCAAAGTAAAAAAAATGCACCAAAATAAAGATTTTTGCTTTGGATCCAAAGTTTTTATCCAGCCAACATGAATTTCATTATTCGGCATAGCTCTTTTCCCCAAAGTTATTACTCCGGATCCAAATTTTTTACTCCGGATCCAAAGTTTTTACTCTGGATCCAAAGTTATTACTCCAGATCCAAAGTTATTACTCCAGATCCAAAGTTTTACTCTGGATCCAAAGTTATTACTCCGGATCCAAAGTTATTACTCCGGAAACAAATTAGGATCCAATCCAATTTAATATTCTGATACTGGAGTATGAACACGCGATCTGGGCATCCAGTTCACCATTCAACATGGTAGCGGGGGTGGGTAGAAACTAGGCGAGGACCTAAGACCTAAGACCTAAGACCCAAAAACGAAGACTCCCCTCAAAATCAGTTATAAATAAGTAAAATCCACTATTCGCCAGTCTACCTTTAAATTCACAGGAAAAAAGGATTGGAACGGGCTACCCAATGAATTACGGGTTGATGGCCTAACATCAGGATCTTTTAAAAGAAAGACATTTAAGTATTTGCAAGAACAAGACAAAACACAGCATAAATGTAGATTGTAGATTAATTCATTTTAACACCTTTTTTACACTTTTTTATTGTAAATATTAGTCTTTCCGCTTTTTTTTACTAAGTACTATTGTTTTTTTTTTCAGTTATTACTGCACATAGGTTTATACCATCTGTTTTTTATATTCAGCTGATCTATTTTTGCAATATAAATAAAGTATTTATTAGTATGTGTAATCAAATGGTGACGAGAGGCTCGGGAAATTATCAGGATTTGGACAAAACGCAAGTGAAATTATTCCCTAATTTCACAAGTATACCATTTGATTACCTATTAATATCATGGGTGACGAATTACGTTAGCAATCGAGGATTTTTGACTTGTTTATCCTGGATCGTATCGATCGATCGTGAACTCCACTTTCAAACGTTTAGAGCTAAAATTTGGCTTAAGTTTTCAGAATTTTTCGACAACATACCTCTAAGAATCCTTCTTGATGTGCTCTTTCGTGTGTTCAGGTTTTCTAAAGCGTCTTTTTTATGCCCTGACATCTTCATTCATGACATTTGAAAACTTCGTCGCCATCTTGAAACGGAGACGCACGGCAGGTTGCCATGGCAATTTAGTAATTTCACGTGTGAAATTACAAATTAAGGCTGAAATTTCGCGCCAAAATTAAGGAGTAACTCGTCACCTATGATATTATTATTATAAATAGCTAAAAACGGGTATCTCGACCTCAGATGTGTAAGAAACAACAAGATCTTCAATTATCAATGAAATTGATCAGGGTCAGGAGCCTCCTGCCAGGGTCTTCGTTTTTTGTACATAACCCCGCCAAATGAAGAAAACGAAGATCCCCTTCAAAATCATTTGGAAGCGGCTCGGAACTGCTTATAACGACTTCTAGACACCAGAGAAGTGTAAGAAACAACACGATTATCAATTACCATGGTGCATTTATCATGGTATAGTCATACAGACACTTTGGGGACCATATAAAAAGTGTTCGTAGTAATTGGGATCAATGTGGAGAAGATGTAAGACCTTTCTGTCCCCTGGAACAAAGCAAACTGTCCGTAATAAAAAATGTTTTTGTTTGTTACACTCCTCTAGTGTCCAGAAGTCGTTATAAACAGTTTCGAGCCGTTTCCAAGTGATTTTGGGGGGGGGTCTTCGTTTTCTACATTTGGCGGTGTTATGTAGAAAAAGCTGAGACCCTGGTCAATTTCATTGGTAATTAAAGATCTTGTTGTTTCTTACATACCTAAGGTCGAGATACCCATTTCTAGCTAGCTATTTATAAGTGATTTTTAGGGGGGTCTTCGTTTTCTACCAATCCATGGCGGGGGCTCAAGGTGAAGACGAAGTAACGTTTGAGTTTTCCTCCCTTTTGGTCCGGCCTTAATTAATTTGATAGACGCCACTAGCGGAGTAAATATTTGGAAGCCATTTTTTATCGAAATTGACCAGCCTCTATGCTGATCAGATCTGCGAACTGATGTTTTACGATCTGATCAGGACAGCACGTTCTGAGCACGTTCTTCCAAATACGTACGTAACGTAACTAGTTAAGATGTCTATCAAATTGGATCCAGAGTAATAACTTTGAATTCGGGATAATAACTTTGGATCCGGAGTAATAACTTTGGATCCAGAGTAAAAATTTTGGATCCGGAGTAACTACTTTAGATCCAGAGTAAAAACTTTGGATCCGGAGTAAATACTTTAGATCCAGAGTAAAAACTTTGGATCCAGAGTAAGAACTTTGCATTTAGAATAATAACTTTGGATCCAGAGTAAGAATTTTGGATCCGGAGTAATAACTTTAGATCTAGAGTAATAAAACAGCATTGCCGAATAATAAAATCCATGTTGGCTGGATAAAAACCTTAAATCCAAAACAAAATCTTTATTTTAATGCACTTTTTTTACTTTGCTTAGAATGGCACTTACGGACCACCGTAATTTATACATCACATCTGAGGTGAAACAGTAGTATGAGGCGCCATTTTTATCATTCTGACCTCGGACAGAAAGGAGTATTTCACAATACAAATTGCACTCGTTCAATTCTCAGGACGATGGAAGTACGCGTGGCTTTTTAGCTAAACTGTTAAAAAAGTTTCCAGAATTACCTATACGGCCATCCGGTTCTCACTTTTGTTGTGCGAGCTGTGGCGAGTGTTTGAATGAACATTAACAGAGTTACGCTCCAACATAATAAAGAATTTATTATATTTATTTTTTATTTAATAGTTTTAACGCTCGGCATTTTACGTACTCCTACAAGCGATATTCACTGAACGACTGAAAACAATCGGCACAGTGATTAAAATTACAAGAGAGACTACTAACAATCAATAAAAGAAATATAATTCGGTGAAACATATACAGAGACAACAATTTTCATTCATGAAGACAAGTATTAAAGTGTCCCTAAAAATCCTAAGTCTTCAAGCTTCAAGCTTAAGTTTATGTTTTAAGCCGGCTTCCCGGTGTTTGCTTTTTTCAAAGACGAACTCGAGGCAAGAAAATCGCTCAAAGCTTTCTTTTACAGGCAGAATTATAACTAAATATTCTTTGGGACGTTTTCTTTCTATTTGCGGTGAGAAACTGTCTAAAGGCTTTTTAAAGTTCTGTAAGCTTATATGAAACCTGATACCCGGTTAGATCACTGTCTCAAATCTTACAAACTTGCATAAACTAAATACCCGCATAAACTACGCTCGACTTCATTACATTAGATACAAAAAACAAACATCCAATACAATAAATTACTCTGGCTTACCATTCGAGATGCAGCTCCTAAAAGGCATCAAGTAAGGCCAGTATCGCTTCAGACTTTGCGACCCTCTTACGCATTAAGCAAGGTGAAAACGAAAACGATGCAATCCGAAATCGGATTTCCGACTTTGTCAAGCGACGTACTTCTCAACCCGAAACCCAATAAACAAACTAGCCATGAATAACAGAAGACTCCTGATAGCAGCTGAATTTTTTTTTTTGTACACCTAGTGGAAAAAGACAGTTAAAAACATCACAAGCTGACACAAAACTCTGTCAGCTTCAGCTGTCAAAGTAAACAAGATTCAAGATGCTGCATAAATTTTCCGCATGAACTCACCTCTCAAATTTTGGCCAATCAGAGCATAAAAATTGGACGTAGAGCGTGACCAACGCGTGACCATGGTGAGAAAAGTCAAAAGCAACTGTCTTCCCAGCCTGTAACAGCTGGCTGAATTTTCGCGTCCGAGGTCAGTTTCCAATCAAAATTTCAATTGTGCGGCACATAAACACAACATATTTCGTATGAATTAAAAAAAACTGAACTTGAGCCTGCGATCACTTGAAAACTCGTAACTTGTCAGCGGATAACTTAATACTTGACACCTGATCCCGCGATACGGTTAAGTGATACTGGTCAGCGGGTACCCTGTTTTGACAGCTGTCAATTGATCAAAACATTGATGTCCAATATGTGTGCATTATCAGTTTTCCTGTGCCCAAACAAGTAAAAGTATGTGATTGAACATTGTTCGCGATCTAGTAAAACAATTAACTGGTCAGTGGACAGCTTCCAAATAAATCACCTCACCTCGATGAGTTGACACATGAGCCTGTGACAGCTGTCAATTGACCATATTGTGAATGTTCTATATTAAAAGCCTATATTAAAGATGTGGACTTGCCAAGAAACGCCGGAGACACCGCTCCTTTCGGTCAATCACGTGACCACCAAACGAAAAGAGGTTGACCATATTCCATGAGTATGGGGCTCGGAGCCCCGCTAAAATGTAATGAGGTTGCTCTCGAGGAAAGTTTAAACCATTTTATCTTAATAATGTAGTGAGGTTGCTCTCGGGGAAAGAATTAATTTTGGTAACAGTAGTATGGGATGGATGAAATTATCCTTTTTTGCAGTGGAATCTCATTAATTTGCGGTATGTGGAATACATTAACGCCGATGACGTCATAGGCTTTTGTCCTTATCTCATGAATAGAATGCTCAGGAATCTCGTTAAAATAAGGTCGTGTGCTTTTTTTAGTTGGTTTAGGTTTTCTAGTAACTTTAAGGGCGATAAATGTCTTCGTTTTCGATTGGTTGATTAGAAAATGGGAAGCGTTCTCATTGGTTAACCCTCGTACATACAAGCAAATTCGTACCCCTAGCGTGGTACAAGGGGGAAGGGGGAGGGAAGCTGAATGGAACACCTCCCCGGAGTTTTTGATATGTTGCAGTATTTCGAAAAGCAATTTTACCTTTAGTGGAAGGCCTTTGATCTTCTTAACAAGATGAGGTATATTTTATCGGTTGTGGCACTGCTGGAGGCCTGTGACGTCACGAACAATGGTCGCCATCTTGGCCGCCATATTGGATTTTACCAAGAATTAGAAATCAGGTTAAAACAGGTATGGGCTCCTGGTTAAAACCGGGAGAAATGGTAATTTTTTGTGCTTTAAATGAAAAATAACACATAAATAGGCACTTTGCATAATTTTAGCCACACGATTTACTTATATTGTTTAAACAAGTTGAAAAAACATATATTTTTAAACACAAAAAAATGGCTTGACCACTTGCTACTTATGACGTCATATCTCGTAACCACAGCAACTGACCATCACTGAACTTGTCTCAAAATGTACGCGAGAGATGAACGATCAGCTACTAAAATTTGTCAGGTCCTGATGTTTTATCCATTAGGAAAAAACTCCGAAAAATCTTAAAGGGGGGGTGGCATCCATCTCCCCTTTTAAGTACGAGGGTTAATTCATGGTGTCCAAGAAATAAAGTCAAACTCGCTTGTGGTTTACAACCACAGAGCTGTAACGTAATTATGCAAGTTCTATTTTCTGCCGCTGTGATTGTCCTAATCCCGGTTCAATGATTCTTGGCGCGCAAATCTTACATATTAATGAGGGCGAGGGCAAACTAGCTCTTTTTAGAAAGGAAGACAATGTTATACTTACCTATCCCTCCTGCTGCTCCTTCTCCTCATTTTTATTGTTTTCCCTTTCCCTCCACCTCGACCACCACCATCACCACCACATTTCTATTGCTTTCCCTCGTCCCCCACCACAGCCACCACCATCACATTCCTATTGTTTTCCCTCCTCCACCACCTCCCTCCCCACATGTCTTTTGCTTTTGTTTGGCCCAAAAGGTCAAACTCAAATAACCTATCTGGTAGGCAAATAGTAAGAGAGTCAAAACAATAGAAATGTGGCGAGGGTGGTGGTGGAGAAGGAAAAACAACAGAAATGTGGTGGTGGTGGTGGGGGACGAGGAGGGAAAACAATAGAAATGTAAAGGCGGTGGAGGAGGGAAATCGCGACAATCCTGTTTTGCCGCAATAGCAGTGAAGAAGACAATTGAAGTTATTAATTGTAATTAAAGTTTGAGTTTCCATGAGAACCACGAGCCTTTAAAAAACAAAGGTTTGCCTTCGTTGTACTAAACTTTGCCTTTATAACGACCGTCGCATACGGGAAACTGAAAAGAGGAGTGAATGGTTAGTCCTTGCTCACATAGATTAAAAGTTAAAAATCGAGCAATCGACACTTGTATGACGCTATTAAGTCTGATCAGTCTTTCTTATTCTTTGGATATTCGTCAGTGCTAGTGACAGCAAGAGGGAAAATGAAGCTGAAGAACTACATTATATAAATAATATGTACGTAATAAACGATTAAGTTTTTAATTTATTGTAATTTATTGAAAGTACATCCTTTGGTAAACTAAGGTCAAGATAGTTTTCTGTTAAAAGCCTTTATTTAAACAGAGCACTGATGACAGTGCCTAAATCCAGAACTGAATCGCTTATGAACCTTTTGTGCTGCACGCAAAAGAAATTTTTTTTGTTTAAAGTTGATAAGGCAAATGCTCTATCCAATCTACATTTTCTTCTTCTGAATTAGTGCTTTAATCATGCCAGACAATTCTGAGGTACCTCTGGTAATTTTTATTTTAACAGTAAGAATTGGGCTGCGAAAGGAAAAGTTTGTGGCCGACTTATTGCAAATGCTTTGCAAGAACAATTATTCTTATCCGAACAGTCCTTGCTTGGCTTCCAGTCTTGTGGCATTTAGACAAAGTTAAACAATGGGCTATGGGGTTGTTTATTATGAGCAGTTAACAAAGAAGCAGTTATTACAAACTTTTCCTTGATAAATTATTGTTATTTTAATCTGATCACTATACCTAAGGTATAGTGAATTGCCTTCGAAATTATTAGGTGAAAACGAAGATATATAGAAACGTTTGTCTATATGAATGTATTCGTTACTTTAAGTTATTCGGTTAAGTGCAAGCAGAAGCCGTTTTAAATATCCGCCTTGAAAAAAAGTTTGTTTTTCTTCCCCACTTATACAGCAAAATCTACGTTCTAGGTGTTGCAGGGCATGTGCGATAATATAATAAACTTGGCACTGCTGAGTTTCCTTATAACCATAATTACTCTAAATGCAACCTACTTTAAAGGAATTAATTATTATATGCCCCTACTTCAAGCTGACACGTATGCTATCTCCTAATTATATCCAGATACACCAATCCCTCAAGACAATTGTCGTTTTAATTTTGTGCGCAGCACCGTACTGTACTGCAGCTGTACTATAATGCGACCTACTGCACTGCAATTTACTGTGCTAAAAATTAGCCATGCTCTATTTTACTGCACTTGAACGTAAAAAGTAACCAAATGATTCAACCCTTTGTCGAAATTCATGGCGGGCGGACGATGGAACTTCGATCCAAACCTGTTTCCCCATTTTTTTTTCTTTTAAGAAGACTTCCGTTAATTGGAAATATGCCTTTACAGGTAAAAGAAGGTCAAGCCATTTTAAGCCAAGTAAAAAAAGACTATCAAGTGTATTAACTTACATGTATTCATCTACGATATATTCTAAAAATCAAGCATTCGAAACGTTTAGTCTACACTTTTTGGAAAATTATAATTTTTGCTGGAATACAAGGTAATATCAATTTACAGTGATATCGCAATTCCACACCAGCGTTCTTACCCTTGTAGATATCTTCAAAAACCTACCTAAAAGCGATAAAAAATTTACATAACCCTACTTATAACATAAGGAAGGTTTCCCCTTCTACTAAATACGAAGGTGGGAGTTTTAAGTTATTTATACACACAGTATGCTTCTAACGAGCACATTACCAGTCCTTTGTTAATTTTTCTTATTGAACTGAGCCGCCATTAAACACGCAAAACCGTCGTTTTTCTCCCCATGCTTTTGGTCATAACGCTTTCTTCACTGCGACTCCTTTTGAAAATGAACGTCACTTATCCCTTTCCCCTTCACCTAACTTCTCCAGCAGAGCATCAAGTTTACTCTGCACGCATTCTAACTTTGTTTCAAGGTTTTGCACACATTCTAGCTTTGTTTCAAGGTTTCTCTCCACGCATTCTAACTTCGTTTGAAGTTTGGATTCCACTTCGGCGATGTTCAATGTTAACTCCTGGCCTTGAAAATCAATATCCTCCCTTGCACACATCTGAGGCAAATATAAAGAAAAACAAACTTAATCACAACACAGTCAAACGTTCGCAGCAAAGGAACAATCAACCTGTGATCAGAGCCGCCTTTGGTCGTCTTGAATGAGGAGGAGAAAAGGAGGATCTGGCTGAATCCCGTAAAACTTTTGAGGTCACTGCAGCCCAATTTTCTGTTCTCACTCGTGACACAGCTTTTTATTTTCGAGTGCAAGCATCCTTTTATTGATAATCCGATGATCATAACCGAGCCCGCTGTACCAAGCGCACGGCTATTGCTAGGCTTGGGGCACAGGGAGCAGAGGAGTTATTTGCGATGGCAAGTGAAGCAAAAATTTCTGTTAGTCGCTGTTATTCGTCCGCAGTCATTACTTTCAGCGGTTTCCCGGAGCAATGGATAATATTTTACCAAGTTCATAACAGATTCTACAGTAAACAGAGGCCACTCATGCGTTCGGCAGTAAAATTTTTGCTTCAATTTCTATCAAAGATAACTCCTCTGCTCCCTGTGCTTGGGTTCGGAACTATTTCCTAACAACACACTGCGCATGCTCAACAAAGATTTTACTCGATTCATGCAGATTCTTTCCCGAGTTCGCCAAAATCGAGCAACCGAATTGAAACCTTAAGGCCCTGCTGATAAGGACAGGAACTATTAGGTAGGGGAGGTTCCCACATCACAGGTGCCAGTACTATGAAATGAAAAAGTGGAGGTTGATGACTTACTAGATCAGATGGAGTTTCGTAAGAAATAAGTTCTAACTTTTGGGTCTCTGGACAAAACCCTATGGTGGCTATATTTAAATGAATCAACTTTGGTGACTTCAGTCAACTCTCTCTAAGACGAACACCTTTGGCGCCGGCACTAAGTTTCCGTCTTAGAGAGATGTTCGTCTTACAGAGAGTCAAAGAAAAGGAGTGAAGAAAGGCTGGGACCAAATCCAGGTGTCCGTTTTATATAGTTGAAAGCTTAGACAGAGTCGACTACCTTGAGTCCAAGCATTTCACAAAATGAAGCCGGGAACATTTGCCTAATTTTTACTTTGCTTTTTTCTGGGATTGAAAAGGATAAAAATAGTAAAAAAATGTCATTAGCATGAAGGGTGCCCGTATTGTAGAGGTGTCTATAAAGGGATTAAAAACAATTACATCCCGTCATGTATTCGTCACTTAATCACTTTACAGTTTAATTGTTGTCCGTGTAGATGTTAAAACTGAAATCTGCCTCCCTCATAAAATAAAGTTGTAATTACTTTCTTCCCTCTTCCTCCATTCTTTCCTTCCTTCCTTCCTTCCACGATATGCTCGCCGAAATTATTTTTGCACGCACTCTGGGAAGACAGAGACTTAGAGAACGGAGCTGGTTGTTGAGCCTGATCAAAGGCTTCAACCCAGGACACACGAAAACGCCATTACCGCATACTCGAGCCGATCCTAACCCCCCAACCCCCCACTAAAAAGCTCATCCTTAGAGGGTAAACGACCTTTAATTTACAAATTATTTATCACAATTTATTTATCCTTTTTTTTCGTTTCGTTCTGTTGTTTCTCACCACAAACTCTGTATTTGTTGGATTAGTACGCAGCTACGTACATTAGTTTGATAATAGCCTGTTCCAGGCTCTGACATGGTGGTGAAAAGTCGTTCAGTAAAAAATGCAAAAAACGCGCGTGGGCTGGGGAGAGACAGGGCGGCGGAGCCTGTACGCATTTTTTTTAACGGCCTGTTCCTTTATATCAGCTCCTGATATACCCTCTGATTGGTCAATGGTGACAGTTAATATCATCACCTAGTAGCGTGGTTATCAGTTTGTCATGACCAAGATGGCTCACGCGAATTACAAACATTAACCACAAAGGACTGCAAAGGACCGCAAACGAATATGCCGAAGAACGTAGGATCTATAAAGACCTGATCAGCAAAAATGAAAAGTAGGCATATTAAATTCTACAAGCAGAATACTGCAATGATGATCGCTCTACGTGAAAATTAACTCTGCAAGACATCAACACGACACCGAAAGAACTCAAAACAGAGCGGGATTGTAGCCATGAACAGCTGTTTCGCCCTCTTTAGGGCTTGTCAGTATGGCGTAACAGTAAAAGAGGGCGAAACAGCTGTCTCTGGTTACAATCCCGCTCTGTTTTGAGTCGTTAAAGAAATGTTAACAAGCTCTCTCTCCCATTTTCCCCGCCACCACCGCCCCCTTTCCCAAGTAGCGCGCGTCTTATTTTCGCTTTGTTCGTTTTAATACGTCCCCACTGTACTATCTGAGAGCCTGGCATAGGCCAGTTTGATAACAACAATTTAGATATGGATGTCTTCCACGTTTAGAACTGTCTACCGCGGTAATTTACCTTAGCCAGAACGCTGTTTTTGAATTGAAAGGCCAGGTAGGGGAACAGAGGTTTGTCCATGCTGTATTCAATATAAGATGGGTTCTTATCTTCCGGAGTTATCTTGCCTCCGTTTACACTAAAAACAATAGGAATACGTATTTGACCATCTATCTCTAGCTGGTCTTCAAACATGACAGTGCATCGAATGACGTCACCTCGGCGAGCTGCGGTAGAGCCTTATTAAGGGAAAAACAAATAATAATAATTTAACTCCTTACCAACCATCAACTGTCTTTACAAATCGAAGGGTTAAAATCAGGCTAATAGGCACTCGTAGTAGTACATCTGAACCATTACAACTTTTTTTTTCAGTAAAAACTGTCGCGTGGGTTATTTAATGCGAAAATCGTTAATATAAAATGAGCAAAAATGAACGGACTCATCAAAAACTTTGACTGCAACTTTTCCTTTTAGTCATCCTTCCGAGCTACACTCTTTAGGACTAACTTATTCATGTAAGCCAAAATATTTTCAAGTGCGATACTTATGCTTCCTTGAATCAGATTTTCTTCCATTGTTTCTCTCTAGTGTGTCGTACATTTTCCTGTCACCCAATATAACTAATAATTTGCCTTCGTTAATCAGAATACAAAATGTAGATTACAAACCTATAGTCTTTCTCCCGCCAGTGCACGCTAGTGTATCAAAAATTTTCCTGTCCTCTGTGTGATATCCAACTGTTCCTTTCTCCCATCCAGGCATCAATTCCGTGCCATAATCGCCAAACACTACTCCCATTCCCAGCCATCGTGTTTCTCCACCTTCCAGAATCATCACCTTCAAAATAAATAATTTTGCTTCTGAGCAAAATTTCGACGTTGATAGGTCTGGCAGATCATAGTTATTAGAGGAGACTGGTTATGAAAAGCAGCAAACATCAATGATAAGAACAACAGTGCTGCAGTTTATGTTGGAAGTACCGTGAAAGTGCACAATCCTTTGTTTTCTGTTGGCAAATTTTTACGGAATAAATTAATGCAACGTTTTTATTGGTCAATACAATCAAAATGATAGGAATTCTTTTGAACGTTGTGCACTTTCAGGTCCACAAAAACATATAACAAAGGAGTCTGACGGGTTTCATAACCATTCCACTCAATTAACTATGGGCAGATGGAGTAACCAACCTCGGCGTGTCACCCCGTGACGTATCACAAAATGGGAGATTACATGGCCCTTCAAGCATTTTGTCGGCTGCATTTAAATGAGGTCATCGTGAAAGTGGTGTATTCTTACCTCAAAATGTGGAAATCTGCGGGAAAAGGGTTTCCTGTATTTAACACCACACTGATTGACATTGCTTACATATGGCTGACATGTTATAAGGTAACCGTCTACCAGTATAGCTTCATGGGCTTCCCAGGCCTGCAAAGGCAACAGAAACGCCTTTCTTTAACCTCTGGTTTATTTTATTTTGATGATAAAAAAAATATTAGCTTACATTTAAGTCTGTAAAGTTATAGCAGTCATGGTAAAGTTGACGTCAAGTTTCATGAGTTGCTGAATTTCCTGAGTGTTGGAAGCCCTTGAAGATAGGCCAGTGAGGCCGACCACATGCTGTCAAAGATAGACTACCACACCCGGTACTTCGTTCCCTGCCCTGAAAGGGTTTGGAGACAGGGCCTGCAGATTATTGTCCTTATCCGAAAAGACGAGGAAGTCTAAACATTTTAAGATGACATTACAAAGGATGCACTTTCACCTCAGTTATTTATTAATAACACTTTTGTGACGCCTTTCACTAATGGGAAAAATATTTTTCAGCTCGTATAGATGTAAGTTAAAATCCGATAAAGTCTGGATAGTTTCAGATAGGACTTTCCTTTCCAAATAGGCAAACTGTCCAATTTAAGAAAAAATGGGACAGCCGGTCTGAGTCAGTCAAATGTTAGAAAATACAATAGACAATGCAAACTAGTCAATCAGCGCAAAGTCCCTGTGACAACGCGCCAAAAAAAGTCTCCTTGGCTGACGGCAGTTCGTCGGCGAATAGTTTTGGCTTCTTGTTGCCGTGAATGTTGTTTTGGTTTGCTGCTGTTTTCAGGACAAAGTCTGCGGAAATCGTTTGAGGTAATGAATGAAATGTTTACTTCAATAGTTTTCGTGTTTAAATTTAGCATTTGCATTGTTACTTTGTCTTCTTTGTACTCGAAATTGCAGTTTTCAAAAAGCGGCATAACTGAAGCAACTTTTTAACATTCAAGCCTATACTTGACTACAAAATGCCAAAGTATGAAAGAGCAAATATTAGTTCTACGTTTGTTCATTTGTAAAGAATAAGTTGACACTTTTTTCGGATCTTGCAGTGAGATTTTTTTTTTCAAGTACAAACGGTTCGAGTGTACAATATTTCGCGTCTGTGACACGTACATACACGCTAAAATCTGGATTAACTAACCAGCCGTATAACTAATGAGTAAAAGGACTACACGGCTGTTCAATTTGGAATTAATTGAATTAAAAAAAAATTCTCTGAGACTGGACTCTCCTTTACGGCCTCGTCCAATTTTCCCTGTCCTCGGAATTTTTTTTCACTCATTTATTCCAAATTGGACAGCATGTAGTCCTATTACATATAAATACTGTCCTTTTTCCACCGGTTTTCCGCCGTAGACAAGCAAATACCCTTAAATGGGATTTACAACACTGATGTAAATTGACGTCCTTTTGTTGTGCTTTTAGTGCAATCTTAAATACAAGCCAAATTTATTGGGTTTTTTTGTTATGAAACCCTTTATACTCTTTTGTTATTATATGTTATTGTTAGCTTTTTTGGACCTGACCGTGAACAATGTTCAATAGCATTCCGATAATTTTGAACTTACTGACTAATAGAAACATCGCATTATTTTTTTCAGGCACAATTTGTGAACAAAAAACAAAAGATTGCGCAAGGTCAGGGAGCTTCCAACATAAACTTTGTCTACAGCACCGTTGTTTTCAAATTTGATGTTTGCTGGCTTTCCTAACCAGTCTCCTTTACTAACTATGCTTTGATACATTGCTCCCCTTTTTTCCCTTTCCTTTTCATTTCTTTTCTTATGTAGTTTGCTGCTTAGCCGATCGTTTTTCCCAAGGAGTTGTGCCCCGCCAACTTTCCAGGAAAGGGAGAAATTCAATTTGCAAAGAGGAGTCAGTGAATTTTTTTTTTCGGTGTGTGACTCAAGCTGGATCGGTCAGAATGATTTTCAAAGTGAGCTATCTGTGCAAAGATCTCTGCTTATCAGCCTAATCACTTGCACTACCTGGAAGCATGAGTAGTTGAGAAATGGACAATCTGCATTGTTCCTTACGGAACGGAATTGACCCAGTCCGTCGCCAAAGGGTTGAAGACCTGAGTTGTGGTCCGGTCAAGGTTTGAGGCCACAGCATGCCACTAGGGAGATCGGCGCTCACCTAACTGCGTATGTAACATATACGAAACATATCGAGATTTCCATTCCTCAGAAAACTTATTTGTACAGTTGCCTTTAGATTTAACGGTCGGTAGTACACACACGACTACCTCTACTGAAATAATTTTGGTATCTTTCCCCTGTAAATATAGGCTGTATGCAAGAAAAGGCTTCTTTGATCGCACTAACATTTGTGTACATTTAAAAGCTTTAATAAACAAAGCGTAATTTCTTGTGTCTGATGGCATCATTGCACTCATTGCCTGCTTTCGTGCCACCAAGAAACGACCCACAAGAGTCATCGCTTGGCTATATCAAAAAGATTTGCTCTTCCTTCAAACGTAATAAGGCAATATTATAGGAAAATTCATTACCTGACGAGGGAATTCCACGTTTAATTGCACGCCAAAACCGATATCGTACGAATCGCGAAGCGATGAGTGCGATATCGGTTTTCAAGTTTTCCTTGAATCGCATAACTGAATAAAAATCAGAAAAAAAAAGGAAAATGGCAACAATATTGTTTGTTTTTATCTTGAGCGCGCGCTCCAGAAAGCCATTTCAAAGTCAACTGTCAGAACTGTCATTGCGTTAGCGAATAGGAAGCAAGGTCAGTCGTACACGTTTGACCCTTCGACAACTTTTTT